ATACATTTTACTAATGGGGAAATAAAGTCTCAGAAACATTAGGTAACTTGTATTAGGTCATAAGCTATAAAATAACAGAACTGTAGTTCAAGCCCAGGTCTGTGTAAGTCAGAAGTTCCTGTTTCTTCCACTCTAACTTTCTTTATGGAGAATGCAGAGAATGGTTTCTCTTCCTTTCTGAGGATTAGGGAACAATTTTTTTTGAACCTGCCTTTCAAAATAGTTGCATGGGGCTTTGAAGTAGGGCTAAGATTGAGTCCAGGCTGTATCGTTGGGATGACTTTACATGGGAGGTGGGATGCCCTCCTCCATCCCAATATTAGCCTACTATTATACCTCTTCACACCATGCATCCGCTTCTCAACCCAGCCCTTCACTGATACTGGATTTTCTATTTGTATGAATGAATACATCCATTCATTCATTTGTTTTATAATTCTTTTTTTTCAAATCACCTATTATATATATCAACCTGCCATGCCCTAAACTTTATTCTTGTGGGTAAATGAATGAAGAAATTTTGCCAGGTCAAAGGGCAACTCTGATCCCCTTAGAATACACAGTCTCATCCCCAGATCAGGCTGACTGACGATAGATTATATCCAGTAACAGCAGTTCAACAGAGTTAATTCCCTAGCATTTCTGGTTTGACATTTTAGCTGAAGACGTTATTTGGGGGACAGTAAAACATTACCCTTCACTATTAATTTGTTCGATAGACAATCTGTCTGTCCTCCTTGGGAGAAGGTCTGGAAAATGGTTAGTTGGCTAAGGAGTGCTTTTAAAATCAATCAGCCAATATTGGAATGTCTGCTATATGCAAGAGCCCCTGCTAGGTGCTGCACAGGGCAGTCTCTGCCTCTTCTCTCTACACACTCTTCTCATCAGCAGCCTGCCTCCCTCAGCATCCATGTGGATAACTCCCAAATCGGCCAACTCCAATACTTCCTTTCTCCTAAACAAAAGGATTGAATTTCCCAGTGCTACCAGATATCCTAACAGTATGCAAATCTCAGAGTGTCAAGAAAGCAATATTACCTCCCTATGACAGAAGGGTAATGTTATTTATGTGAAGATTTGGAGGTGGAAAGGCTGGAGGGATTAGGGAACACATTTAAATAGTCTATTTTAGCAATCCAACCTTGAGGTACATAACATTGAAGCTTGAATGACAAGAATTGAAAATGAGAGACAATTCTAAGAAGTTATTCATAGGCAAGGAATATAGACAATATAGGCAAGGAATGGTGTTAAATTACATTGTGTTTACTGTGGTTTGAATATGACTTCAAGATTTGGAGCCTGAATCATGGGAATCTAATAGTGTCTTTGTTAGTAGTAAAATACACTGATGTTTGACAGGATGGTGAACCAAGTTCATTTAAATGCTAATAAAGATGTTTTGGTCACAGCCAAGTAATAGTTTTCATTTGTAGATCTAGCACTCTTGACCCACCTTTCCACAGCTCTAGAGGCAGAGACTAAAAAAGAAGGAAGGAATATATATGGATCATTTATTTGGTTCCTACCTAATTTTCAAAACAAGACTGCCTGACAGGAATTTCCTCTACTTTACAAATGAGGAAACTGAAGCAGAGAATTTAAGGTAGGTTAGTTTCACACAGTCAGGCTGTGCATAAGTTCTAGATTCAGTCATTTGATTGAATTTGCTACTGAGCCACACCCTACCTGCCCCCACTGCCTTAGTCCTTGATCAGCTGACTGGAGTGTAGGCAGCAGGAGATCAGGAGAAGCAAAGCCACTTATCCTCACTGCCGGAAACAAACAAAAAACAAGGAAACGGTAAACCACACAAAATCAACACCTCCTCTGCCTTCACTATTGCTGACATTGCCCTACCTCACAACAGCCCTAAAACCTTGGAGCCATCTTTGACTTTCTCCTTCCATAACTGGTCACTTACTAAGTCCAATGGATTCTCCCTTAATTCTGCCTCTTATATCCCTTGCTTCCTTTCTGGTCCTACTGGTCCTAGCATCCTGAGTCATTATCTGTTTCTAAGACCATTTGAAGACTTAGTAATGGTATCCCTGCCACTAATCTCTCCTTCAACCAATTGTACATACTGCTGTCAGTGTGACTCCAGCAGCAGCATGGGGTGGTGATTGAGAGTCTGGGTTTTGTAACCAGAATGCCTGAGTTCACATCTCCATGTCTTCAACATACAATTTGACTTTGTGCAAGTTACTTAGTATTCCTGTGCCTCACTTTCCTTATCTTTAGAATGAGACTAATGCTAATAACCATTTCCTAGGATTGTTTTGAGAATCAGATGAATTTATATATAACATATTATAGATATAGATATATATATCTATTATATATATATGTATAAAGACATCTGTAGAAAGATGTCTGGCACAAATTACTCAATAAATGTTAATTTGTTATTATTATTGTTACTATAATTATTAAAGTAAACTTTGGTCACATTATTTCATTTGGAACTGGTATTTGAAAAAAAAAGATCAAATCCATTCTCTCTGGGTTTGTAAGCCAAGGATTGAAATGCAAAGCCCAGAAAGGATAAAAATATGAATGAAAACAATTAGAACTGAAGCAAGACTACATATCTGTGTAAGCCTAGGGTTTAAATTCCTTGTCGATCCCAGACCAAGGTCACCCTGATGAGCTGTATTTCCACAAGCCCCACAGAGCATGGCCAGAAGGACAGGTGCGTGGTGTCTAGGGCCTGGTCACAGTAGTTCTGTGGTTTTTCTAACCACCTGGGAGACTGAAAAACTACCCCTTAAACATATAAAATGATAGAGAACATGCTTCTGTGCTAATGATAACCAGTTAACAGTGAAAGGAAAGGGAAAAAAAAATTGGGAGGGGATTTGGAGACAGTGGTAGAGGCAAAAATGAAGGCAGAAAAACACATATAGAAACTCAGATTCCCACAGAAACTCACATAAGGAGATTTGCACATTCATGGAGACGTAGACCTTGATGTGGTTAGCTTCCAATTTTTTTAGAGTAGATTTTTTTTTTAGTTTCTTTTTTAAAAATATATTTATTTATTATATTTATTTATTTATTATTGCACTATTTTAGTATTTTTTGGCAGGGGGGATGTTATTAGGTTTATTTATTTTTACTGGAGGTACTGGAGATTGAACCCAGGACCTCATGCATGCTAAGCATGTGCTCTACCACTGAGCTATACCCCCCTCTAGCTTCCAATTTTGTGGCCTTTACATGGACTTTTGAGGTATTTTGATCCAAATTCTGCCCCGGGTATATACCTCATATATTCCTAACATAGAAACCTTTTCTCACATCACTCCTCCCTACAACTTCCTTTTGGTTCCTGTTTGTATTTGTTTTTTCTCTGTCTCTTTCAATCTCTCTTTCCCCACCTCTCTTTTCTTGTTTACTTTTTGTCCATTTATCCGTTTGTATCCTCTCTGTGTGAAGCCGTTGTTAAAACATTGTAGTCATATCATAGTGTTTGAAGTTTTCTCTTCCTTCAGTGAACGTCTCCAGCACTTAATTTCTGTTACCCATTTAGAGTCATATACTGGTTTTATCACCAGTTATAGTTTTCAAGTGACTGTGTTACGAGTTTTAGGCTATATTGGAAAATTTTTGTGACTAGATGGTGTGTCTTATCCTTACCACGCAAGTGCTGAAAAAACAGTAGGATGGTTTGTGTATTACCCCGATCACATCCAAAATAGCTAGTAATAAGTGATAAGACCTACATAAAGATATTAACAGGTGGATAGTCCCAGCACACTTTTATACATCTGCCTATAAAAAGCATGATAGCATATAAGGGGATTAGCAGAAGGCAAAGGTTAATTTTTGGAGAGGCAGACACCCATGGTTAATGGGCAGATTCATTTCAAAGAGGAAAAATAATGGACTAGGCTTTGCTTCTATATTAGAGCAGATACGGTCTATTCAACAGCTCGTTTGCTGCTTTTGAAGGGTACTTTGTGGTTTAAGGACTTTTGTTCATATTGTCACTGTTTTCATGTTATCTACAGATATCTCAGTGCCTAATCTATGCCTGGCATTTGTATTCAAGAAACTAAGCTATAAGAGTAAAAACAAATAAATAGAGTTGTTAATAATTTCTGTTCATGGTGTGTATGTGTATGCTTGTGTATGTTCCTAGGTGTTTACCCTCCCTCTACCTCTCTCCCAAAATTCATTTGGCAAATGAAAACTAGTTAAATGACTTAGAGTTACAGGAAATTAAAGACTAAAAGAAATTATTACCGTAGGAGCTATACCACAAGGAATAGAGAATGTACACCAATACTATGAAACAAGTAATTAAAACCCAAGTTGAGCTGTTTTGAAGAAAACCAATATAGAATTCTTGAATAAGGTCCTTAAAAGTAAGCTCGTGTGATTTTACCATGACTTAATTATTTAACATCAACAGTTTGTTGAGTAGGTGAAATTCTTTAGAGTGTACATAAATATTTAATATATTTTATGAGTAGAAATTATAGGTTTAAAATTATTAAATGCTCAATCAGAGCTCGTCCTCTGATTTCAAACAGCATAGTAATAGGTACTTCTTTTAGGAAATGTGGTTCCACTTACATTTTTCTGTCATCATGTACATTTTTTATATGTGGCCCAGCTATTCATTCAACTCAATATCATGTTTGTAAATTTACATAGTTTGCCTCACGGGCAGATTTTTGGCAGTTTAAATGCTGTTGATGACTAATGATTATGCAATTAACATATAGCAACTGTTTAGCTTCAATAATATTTTCTTAATGCCATAAGGGTGAGTTCATTTTTTTAACTGAATAGCTAACTGTTTTTTAAACTTTGACAAAAATGTTCCTTAGGGATGTACAAAACAAACAAGAATAATCTTCACTAAAAGCTGCAGAGAATTTATTTTCTGCAGAAATTTTATAGTATTGTCTATAAAATGATTTCCGCTAGAGAAAAAAAAATAACAGATTTTAAATATATATTCTTATACAGCATTCCTTATCTTACAGATGAGCTCAGTGAAAATGTTACGGCCTCGTCTCAATAGCATTCTTTTCAAGCTTACATTTGAAGAACACGTAAACAACATCAAACCGAGCATCATAGCTGTAACTCTTGCCTGTGAAGAACTGAAGAAAAGTGAAAGCTTTAGCAGACTCTTAGAGTTAGTTCTTTTGGTTGGAAACTACATGAACTCAGGCTCAAGAAATGCCCAGTCCTTGGGTTTTAAGATCAACTTTCTTTGTAAGGTAAGATAATATTTTATCATACCAATTTACAACAGTACTCTCATCTGTGAGAGGGGTGACTCTAAACAGCAGTAGTACATCAGCTGAAAAAAGGATGCTTTAAAAGGATGAATTTTATGGCATGTGAATTATATCTCAATTAAAACAGGCAGATAATTTTTTAAAATCTTACTGCAGTGAAATCTCCAAGACTACAAGTTCTTTTGTAGTGTAGTACTTGACTCTTGCTAGTTTTAGGTCAAAAATACTAGCTTTTATAAAGTAGATGCAATCTTATATTTTAATCCCTTTGTACTTATTTTGTCACTCCAAAAAGTATTTGGGGAACTAAATTCAGTGAGGTAGATAGCCAGAAATTTCCTTTTAAATATGCTTTGTTTATTCTCCTTTAAGAAAATAATATACTTTATTGTTGAAGAGTGTTGTGTTATTAAGCTTATACTATGTACCTTGAGCATTAACTAAAAGTTTTTAAAAATCAAGTGATAACCATCTTATTATGACTGGGCCATTTCATAGGATTATTTTTGAGGTTTTAGTTCTTGTGAAAGGCAAACAGAAAAAGAGAAATGCAAAAGTGATTGTACATGTCCATTTCTAGGTTAGAGCAAACCACCTTATTCAAGGAAAAGATCTGTCTGTTTCAGGAAGGAAACTGAACAGACTCTGAGGTGAAGGCCTGTAAGAAAGCTTGAGACAAAAATGAATCTGAAAACAGGCAATCTGTCTTTGACATCTCACCGTGCTTTACTTTTTCCGCCCTCTCACATCTGAAAACATTACAGAACTTTGGCTACTTCTTGAAGTATGTTATTACAAAAATCCCCAATCTAGGAATAGGTATAAATTTCTTTTGTATTCATGCATTAAATAGGTGTGCATTGCATATACATGGACTAACATTTTAATATGTATCAAAAATTATTTGCTCCTGGTAGTTCTAACCCAGATAGACGTAAAGAATAACATTTGTAGATAATAGGATGCATAATGGAATTGTATCTGTTTACCCCTGATTTATTTTTGAGAGGTGTAAGGAAAGAAAGTAACGAAGTTAGGAAAGATCATCTGGCATGTTAGATTTTTGTCAAAAAAAACCATTTTTAGTCCCTCTTATTATATTAGGGAACGTGTGATATTATTTGATAATTTAATAAATTTATTTGATAATTATAATAAATTAGAATAACTCACAGCCAGACTTGTAGGATAAAACTAAATATTTAAGACTTTCTCACTGCATTGCATGTCATATACTCAATACTACTAAAAGCATCTCTTATCAAGATGCTCCTTGTTTAGAGTATATGCTGTGTGCACAGTGAGTGAATCTTAAAGTGTTCTTGGTTGATCATTATGCAAATATTATAAATTAAAAGAAAAGGTCCTTGGAAGTTTGTATTATTACCTCTTTCACATTTAATTCATATAAAAAAGACATTTAGAACATGTTACCCTAATTTGAATAAATATGTACCTTTTTTAAGTATCTTAATTTCACACTATTCAAGTGAATTCCATGAACTGTGTTTTTTGAAGCAAGAATGAAAAAGTCATTAATACATAGGAACAAAAAATTATATTAATCTCACAGAAGTATTTTACAGTTGCATCTTATATTTTGGAGAGAGGCTTCTTCCTGTCATCTCCCTGTCAAATAAAAGTTCTTCCACACAACGCTGCTCTGACATCTATCACTAGAGGTATGCTCAAAGGATTCAGCACAAAGACTTTTGCCGACTTCAAATAAAATAAAAAATAATCTTGTGGGAAATACTATCATGTAGTAATAGATGTTCTAAAAGAGAAAGAGGTGAATGTTTTAAAATCCCCTCCTTTCCCCCACTTTTCAGGAGGATTTTTATCTTCAGGGAAATACTTGTCATTAAGATAGAAAAATATCATATACATGCATGGTATTCCCACACTGTCTAGGGTTAAAAGGATGTTGCTGGGAATACAAAGAGTTCTGAGTAGATATAAATGTCTAAAATGATAGAAATTTACTGAAGTACATAGAAGTAGTTAGCTTAGGTTTGTAATCTGTTTGGAACTGAATCAACTAGCTACTGATACACGATTAGCTAGAATTGATATTAAATTCCAGTAATATTATAAAAGATTACTTCGTTGATTTTTCTTAGTTTTTTTTTAACTTAAATAAATAGCAGAGTACTCTTTGTAGAGTACTGATTATGCTTTTTAAATGATACCATTTACCTAACTAAATTATTCTAATGATAATTTCCTTTCTCAGTGAATTTAAAACTGTAATTCACCACTTTTCACAAGAAGCTATAGATCATGTTAAAATATTTACCTAGTTAAAAAGGAACCATGACATAAACAGTTAAACTTAAATGTATCGTGTAGTAAAGTAATATTGAAAAATTTAGATGATCACAATTGGCTCCTATAATATTTGGGGAGAAAAGGAAAACAGGCAGGTTAACCTAAATGTCAAATATCACTAAAGGGTATCATTACTGTAAGTACCGCTCTCACCACAAAATGATTTGTTTATTTGCAGAAGTGTATTATCACTTTGTGAGTCACCAAACCATGGTGCTGAACTGTAATGAAAATTATTTCCATGCAGATGAGTTTCCAGTGTTAGCTCGGCTCTTGCTTGCCCATTGGTTATTAAAATTCTAGCCAATAGCAATCTTATATTAGGGTCATGTGTTGTATATGTTTTCAGTCAATAATAACATATATAATCTATATAAGAACAAAACATTTAAAAATACTTAGCATTCCCTAGCTTTGTGGGTATATCAGCTTAGGATCTTTGTTTGCAAGCAACAGAAAGTGACTGCCTGATTTCAGCAAAAAATGGAGTTTATTGGGAGAAACTCAGCCAGAAACTGAGGAAAGGCTGAAGAACTTGGCCTTTAAAAGGGCAGCAACTCTGGCAGCTTTGAGAATGCAGAGAGCAGGTATGAATGGAAAGTCTTTCCAGGAAGTTGCCTTTGGGATATATTAGCTCTAGCCATTTTCCTCCTCCTTTCCCTGTGTTTGATTCAGATTCTAATTAGGAAGAGAGACTGATAGGCCTGGTGTAGATTATAAGACTACCCCTTGTCCAAGAGAGGGCAAAGAACTTTGATTGACAGCACAGCCAGGACTACACATATGGTTGCCTGTGATTTTACAGTTTATAAAATGCTTTCCTTGTGATTCAGAGTTTATTATTATTCACCTCATTTTGCAAATTAGAGAATTAAATTGAAGATGAGTAGGTTCTTGTCTCATCACAGAAAGAATTCAGAGACAAAATACAGAAGTCAAGAAAGTAAAGTGAGGATTTATTAAGTGATAGGATACTCTCAAGGGGAAAGCGGGCAGACTCAGGTGAGTAGCTGCCCTAAGTTTCTTTGGGAAGCTGGTTACATAGAGTATAAAAATGAATAAGTGGAATATTCATTGGAGAAGGAGTGAATTGAGATTGTATTCCCTGATTTCCATCCAAGCTCCACCCTCCTGAGGGGAGGAGAGATTTTTGTCCTTATTTATTCTTGATAGGAAGTGTCATGGCATCAGTGTATGATGGGTACTTCTTATCTGCAAGGCAAATTTTATTAAAATGAGGGCATAATGAGCAAAAGCTTACATGTGGACACTGGAAGTTCCTGCTTTATCCCACCTTTCTTTGTCTGCCTCTAGGACCCTTGTCACCCCAAAACTTGTGGTTTTCTTTTGGTCCAGAAATTCCTTTTCTCTATCTGCCAAAGGATCCCCCCATTGTTCACAAGTTGTATGATTTCCTGCCATTTGGCCTATGCCCTCCCTTCTCTGTTCATATCTAGCCATCTGCCTGCTCTAATACAGTGAAGTTATGCAATTTTTCCAAGATCAGAAGGCTAGTAAATGTTCAAGTTTGGGTTTAAATCTTGGTTTTCTGTGTCCGAAACCTTGTGACACACTACCTCCCACTGCATTATAACAGAATGTTTGGTTATATGTGGCTCATTTCAAGGAAGCATTACAGAATCAATTCTGCCACTTACAGACTTCTGAAAATGGGGAAAACCACATGTGGATTTTCTTGACTCCAGTAACTTGTAAAATGAAGATCTGTCTTTTTTTTTTTTAATGCAAATTCAATCAGAAGTACTTGTAGAACTCTTAATAGAAAGTTTCTCTTCCCCAAATAGATTTTAACGTATCCAGGCAGTAGAGCCTATATACTTGTAATAAAATAGCATCTAATAATCCAAATAATTATAGAGCAGTCACTTACTTTGCATGTATAGGCTCTCAGACCCTAACAGTTTTGTGTAGGCAAGGTTGGCTGCTCTTCTCAGTGCAAATTTTATAAATGAGGATTTGTTCTTCAGAGAGATGGCTTACCCAGGATCACTGAGTAGGCAGATAACTCAGAGGCAGAGTTAGAATCTTTTCCTGGGACTCAAATTATTTCAGCAGCTCAAGGTATTTTTAGAATTTGATGATCTCCATTGCTTCACTCAAATATGTTTTTTCCTGTAAGACAGTGTTTGGCATTATTTGGATTTTGGGGAAAATGTGATTGATAATTTACTGAGAAGAAAATTGCTTTGAGGGATATAATTTGTCTTGGAAAAAAATCCGTGTAGGGAAAGGTTAGATTCTCTATCAAGAACAGGGTTGGATGGAATGTTAGGTTCTCTTTCCAGGCTTCTTTTTTTTTTTTTTTTTTTTTTTTTATTTCCCTGTGGGTCCTTTAAGCTCTCCTTCCTGTGGGGCTCTTTGCAGCAAAGAGTTTTCAGTTGATCTCCCTCAGTCACTGGTTGTAATTGGTGATATAAGAACCCACATACAGCAAAATATAGAGGAGCTCATTCATGTTACTTTGCATTTTTAAATGTCATTGCATAGTATAGTGATGCTCTGTACCATTCGTTCATAATTCATGGCAAATAGACACAAACTTCTCAAGTTAAGGATTTGTCTGTGCCTCATTATTGAAGCAAGAGCATTCACCATTGTAGACTTCTGAAATAACTAAGCACCATAGA